AAATGTTTTTGGTGAATAAAAATACTGCAATTATGACAAACAGTAGAAAAATTCTGCTTCTGAAAGCAACTCGTTCCAAAAAAACTCCAGGCATGTTAAATGTGATGGCACAGTAATACTGTACGTAGACTGCAATACAGGGAAATTCTCCATACAGTACAACGATTATCTCTGTAAAACGAATTTTTGGGGTCCCATAGGGCATACGGTTATTCAAAACAAAATTCTCTCTATAAAAAATTTTGTTCTAGTTCCGTTATAGAGAGAGTCTATCAGTATGAAGTACGAATACAAGTTCGTACGTTTCTTCAAGGATTCATCGCGGTTTTCCTTCTTTTGAATTAGATTCCACGACGCATCGTACACAGCCAAAAATTTAAGACACGCTTATGGAAAAGATTTCATCCGGAGCTTGGCTTATTAGTGTCTTTTGTGCAACTTAGAAAGGTACGTGACAATGATTTGGTGCAAAGTAGATCAAGAAGTGAGTTCAAGTGATGCTAAGATATGGCTAGACCACTTGAAAACATGAATTAAAAACATTTTCCAATCTCTCAAAATGTCGTGATGAAGTCAACTGAAACGATATCAAACCTCCACTTCCGTCGTTTCCGGTCGCAAAGTGTCCTGGACCTTGTCTTGACACGTCAACACACAGCGTTGAAGACGATTCTTGGAATGCAAAACAAAAGTCATCATTTCGACTAAATTATTGATCGGAAAAGTTGGCAACCCTTACCTGAAACTGTTGCATCTCTCCTTGAACCTTTGTTTGAGCCTTGTTCAAAGGAATTGCACAATTTTCGATGCAACGATGGATCGCCTCCAGGTGAGACTCGCGATCATCGCAACATCGTGCTGCACAACGATGCATATCACCCTAAAAAATATGGTTTTAAAAGTATGTTCATCATGAAAACCTCTAAATTATTCCGAAAATGTCTCAGCGTCAAGGATAAACAGAAGTACATGCAGTAATTTTTCTTGGTAAAACTACCACCGCAAATTCTTGATACGCCGCCATTTTAAGAGTGGTAGTCCGAAAAATGTGAAGAGCTAAGCGAAATAAGCTTACACCAAAACACCCAGACCTAAGATTTAGCCAATCTTACGCAAAACGAACTAGGGTAGACCCAAATCTGGGAAAGTCTACAAGAACATGCATAAGTCCCGCAATTCAAAGTTGTTTAAGGACTAACTGAATAAGCTGAACCTCCTCAAGTCGAATATTCTTCAAGTCTCTGCCTGAATTCCCTCAGAAACAATGCATTAAAAGCCTCTCTAACTCAATGGCTTTTCCTCTCAAACTTCCATAACCCAAATTTTCTGAAGGCCTTTTGGCTATCATTTTATTGACACAGGAAAGATAAAAGCAATGAAAAAGTAAAAATTTGTTTTAAAATCAAGTGAAAAACTAATGGCTTTTCCTCTCAAACTTCCATAACCCAAATTTTCTGAAGGCCTTTTGGCTATCATTTTATTGACACAGGAAAGATAAAAGCAATGAAAAAGTAAAAATTTGTTTTAAAATCAAGTGAAAAACGAATTGGGCAAAGGAACTCATGCCTCCAAGTTCAGCATCCTGTCAACTCATTCAAAAAAGCAATTCAAGGCCCAGAATATCACCAATTACGCTTTCCTGCAATTCTTCCATCTTTCCCGCAAAAGAAATGCTGGTCTTCTGAACTTGATACCTCCCTGACTCGAATTTGTGGCTGGTCTCTTGAAAGATGACTTATAGAGGTTTGACTGTACCTCAACTCAACTGATCACACCAATCCTCATCAACTACTCAAACAAAGCAAACTTTTTATACACCAATAAATATTGACATATATTCGGTTATACAAATAAATAAATAAATGAGAAAATAAAATACAGTCAACCCCAAAACAATGGACCTCCCGCACAACAGACCACCTTTGGAGGCAGTTTTCCCTACTGCGCAATGAACTAAATCAGCATGACAAACTTCTGTAGGTGTGAAATTATTGGTAACCAGTAAAATTTTAATTTTTAAAATAATTGAATTCGCAGAACCGACTTTTCACACAACAGACTCCCAAACAAAGGTTGCACCTGCATTCGACGTAATGTCAACTTGTCCAGGTCATTGATCATTTGCGTCACTGCATCTTGGACCCTGATCTGAGCAGCATCAGCCATGACTTGAAAATCCTGAAAAAAACACTTCTCAAACACTATCACCTGCAAAATGAACAACAAAATCGACTAAATTTCCAAACATGTTCAAAATCGTACACCTTCCATCAGGCAGTTGAAATACCACTACAAAAACTACTCCGAACCAAACCGGACAATCTCGAACATGAATTAAAATCATCACCAAGTAAAAAAAAAATTGTATGACGGAATGAAATTCGATTCATTACCGCAATATGTTGTCACCGCATAAACAAGCAAAAACCGATCGCGTTTCTCAAACCTTGTAAACACAAAAAAAGGCAACATCCGCAACTCCATCTTCACTCAAGTTCTTCGAGAGCACAGCTGTTTTTTTTTTCGCGTGCTGTATTCGGAAAAGATAAAACCATCACAATTTTAATCGCGATGCCTTACTTTTTGTCCATTTCAGAAATATACCACGAAAAAATTCACATTCGATTCGAATATTGGACAACAGATGCCCAACGTCAGGTTTAACGATATCGGAACGATTTATTCATGCACAACTTTGAGCTGACGGAATTTCATTCAAATGTTCGTTTCTCCCTCGAACGGACGAAGTATAGATAAGATGAGAATAATCACTCATGCTTAACGATAAAAAACGGCATGATTTCCAAGCAAGACATCCTGGGAATTCATGAATATAAATTTTTGCCAATCAACTCATCTCTTCCTGCACAAGAATACTACCACAAAAGATAAGCAGGAAACCACAGTGTAAAATTAAATCCTGAAAGGTTTAGTAATAGAGTAAATTTATACCAGACAGAGATAAAACTAAGCGTCAATCTAGTTGGTCTTTTCCTCTCGAAGAATAAAACAAGTTAGACGCCCAATACCAATAAATGTTATCGTGAACACATGATCAACGGGAATTCAATGCGTACCAATTCAAATTTGACTCTGAAGTGTCGTAATTACAAATCACTTGGAATCCAATCGAAGGATTCAGCCATCATAAAAGAAAAGCATTAACGGTACTTAGTTCCTGCGCTGCGCAATTCAGAAGAAGTATTGTGAAGTACTTCTATTTCTTGGGGAGAAAAAAGTGAAAGGAGGTTGAAGAGCTTTTCCTGGCTAGTCATACTTTGCTCACATCAATTTCCAGCAATATGACTAGATGCTCAACGGTGTAATAATTTACATAGCTAATTCCTCGGAGTTGAATTGGCTAAAAAGCAATCTGACTGATTTCTACACAGGCCGGGATCAGTTCCACGAAATCCAAGAATAATATTTTCTGCTGTTCATGAACAAATCTCGCCAGATACACAGGACTACAAGGGGTTTCACTGACTTCCAGAAAATACATGGCAGGAACACGAAACATGAAGGTCATTTCCTGACAAAAGAATGATAGCTATTCATTTCAAAATGGCCTGCCATTCTACCAAACTTGAATGCGTGAAAAAGTTTGATTTTTTTATAAAGCGAGTGTGCAAGAATTCTTTGAAGCATAGAAGTAGTGCACATTTTATCGTACAGTATATAATTTTCAGGGCAAGCTCTCAGTCACAGGGAAATTTTAAGAGAACTGTTCAAATAAGAATCTTTGGACTTCGAATACAGCATACGAGGTAGATATAGTGTCAGCAATTCTCCTGACGGGTGCAAAACCGTGGCAATTAACAACGATGAAATTCGGGGGTTGTGGAAAAAAAAACCTTGAACAATCGAATCGAAATCTCGATTTTAAAAAATTCGAAAGCAAATTCATCCTCACCAAAATAAATCGAGGCATGAGAGATTTTTCTTCCCAAGTTCATCCTGATGCTCCAATACACACAGAACTCTACAAATTACTGAATTTTTAATACATCTCATCTTCGTATGTTCGTGACGGGATGCCACTGGTGAAAATGAACCCTGAGACATGACCGTTTGCTGCTGACTTTCAGAAGTTCAGAGAAACCCCCTCGATCGTATGCCCTTCAAGAAGATTCTAATAACGAGAAAAAAAAGGCTTTTCCTACGGGGAGGGAAACGAACATCATCGTAACAACGTACAAAAAACACACGAATGGCATCACAAGCTATCAAGAGACACTTGGAAATACAGGGTATTTTGCCCGTTTTCCAACCCCCGTCTCAGATGCTCTCGAGAACTTCTTCCTTCCGTCAGTAGGGTCTTCCTCGAAAATATCGATTCGAATTGTAAAACGGCCTCCCGCGATTCCGGGTTCTTCCTCTCGAGAAACCATGTCCCCTCCGTCTGTATTCCGAGTCACTCGACGAGCTCCGCGAAGACCGGCGCCTGTCGCGACTCCGAGAACGACGACGATAGCCGCCGTGGCGGCGGCTTCTCGAACGAGATCGAGACCGGGAACTTCCGGATCGCGACCCGGAACGTCGTCGACGTCGACGACGATGACCCCGACTGCTGTTGCGGGACCGGGATCGAGGTTCCCGGGAACGGCTTCTGGATCGGGAACGGTGACGGCTTTTTGAACGTCGCGGTGAATCGTGAACGGATTCAACTGACTTCGCTCTCTCTACTTCGGGTTCATCGAATCTCGTGCTGTCACTGATTCCATTGGCCAGCATTCCTCTGCAAAAAAAAAATTAGGATAAACAATTGGCACGTTATCAATTTCTGCATTGAATACCTTAAAATCTCTAAGCAACAAACTCTCAGGATCCTCAGAAAAAAAATCTCTAAGCAACACACTCTCAGGAACCTCAGAAAAAATTCGTCATGACGACATTCACGGTTCTTTCAGCATGTAAGGATGAAAATTTGCGGAAAACATGTAATGGATGCTTTGAACTACTTCCATGAGACATGTGAAGAACTGCTAAAATTTCCAACTTCTTTTGATGGAAGAATGGAGAATATTCAAAATGTGAAATACAAGTCTCTCATTTCATACCTTCCCTTTCTTGAATTTTCAAAATATACGGCAATGCTTTCAAGAATGAACTGAAAGAAAAAGGAAATGTATGCGTACAAAGAGCATTTATTCGTGATCAACCGTATGTTCCCTGAAATTGAGTAAGATCATTCCATGCCTACGTTTTTCTTCAAAAAATTAATCTTTCTAAATTCTAACATAAAATTGAATCAACTCGTATTTGAGCTTCATACTTCCTGTTACGTTAAAATGTCTGTAAAAAATAGCTTAAATATTTTTCGAAGGTTTTTCAATCGTGCATTGAGTTCTCCCATATTGCGCCAATTATTAAAAATTTCTACGGTTCATCCAAAGGAAAAAATTCGTTATACGTATTGCGATTATGGAGGAAAATTAGTTCATTACAACGATATTTTTAAAACACTGTCCTTCCGAAGACACTACTGTGACGAAGATGAAATATCGTCATAACAAGATTCGTTGCAACCACATTTTACTGTATTCGACCTTGCTGCAGATTACATACTGCATGAAAAAAAAAGCCTCAAGGCACGAATCGGAATTTTTGTCACTTACAATGTAACAGGAGCTGTTCCAGTTAAAGCCTTGGAATTGTGCGCATCTGGCGGTTTTCCTGCAGGTGGGGGCGGCGGTCTTGCGCTGTTCAAAAAATTTATGCTGATCTTCTGCTGCGGCAATGTTTCAACAATATTCCTACGGGAAAAAGAACAGACCTTCTTCGATGACAACAATTCTCCCACGCATAATTAAATATGAGCGATTTTCAATGAACACGAAAGTCAGTAGTCTGTTCCGCGATATCTCAATTTGGAAGCCATAAGTTGAACGTCACACTTGAATATAACGAGTAATTTATATAAAAAAAAGTTATCAATTGAATTTATGTCCAAATTTTAATCCTGGTGTATCTCATTCTTCAATATTAAAATTGATAAATCTCTGAAAATGGGATGGGAGGCTTAATCAGTGATGAGATTTGATCCAAATGTTACGTTAAAAAAATTTGGGTGCGTGTCTCACTCGAGTAAATACAGTAGTCTGTGCAGTTTTTTAACAACGCTGAAACATGCTTCGGAGTCCCAAACAAACTGAAATTAATTTCTAAATACGAGTTATTGTAAAGCAAAAAATTGTTTTCGTTTCCTTACTTTACTGGTTTCCATTTACTGATGAATTTTGGCGCTTCTTCCCGCTCCTCCATGTCATTTTTTTCGATCGACAACGTCTTCGGTTGATCCGAAGTTCGAGATCCTCCGTTGATTTCGCGAACACCTCGTATTTCCGAACCTGGCAGAAAAACGAATTCAGGTTATTCCTCAAACCACTTAATCGAAAGTAACTTCAGAAATAAATTACTTATGGAAAGAGCTCGATTCTCCAACTCAGATACGCGTGCGAGAAGCTGGTGCGCTTCTTCCAATGGATTTACCAATGGTCGAGGAGAGCTGGCCTCGGCAAAGGCTGCCGTTAGGGGCTCTGAAAGATCAGGTTTCTCTAGTTTCGGCAGGAATTCTTCGGGGTTCCTTGAAAAAAATAAAAATAACTCAGTCAAAATGGAAGATTCAGAAACCCGAAGGAGTCGTCAACAATAGAAGAAGAAACTTACTCTTTCGGACTTGACTCCTCCCATTCTTCGAAGTCTGCGCTTGTAGGTTTCAAAAGCTCTTTCTTCTCTTTTACAGGCTGGATTCCTTCGTGTTTCCTAAAAAAAAACAAAAAAAAACATGAATCATACAAAAATTCAAGTCACAGAAAAAGCTTTTGTCTTCCGAATTCACACCTCATTTCTAACACACTAGCTTACAGATCTTGAAAAAGTAGAATATTCAACGCAATTTCAATAACAAAGGAGGAAAGTAATACTGCAATGAAAATCAGAGCATTTTGACGGACATTTCGTATGTCACCTCTCAACTACCATCATAGGTCTCTCGTCTACCAACGAAGGATGTTGCCTGTAACGTTCATTTTTTTGGCCAATCTAAAAATGTTGCTTCCGCACCAGAGCGTGTCCAAACACACAATTCAGACCAATCAACCATTTACAGCACGCAAAGGGAAAATGTAGATTAAAACCGTTCTGATTTGTCACGCATCAGAACAGAAGCGTTTTTGCTAACTTTCAAGCAGCAATAATGAATTGATCAAGTAAGGTAAATATCGAATAATTAAGGCTAACTTAGTACTTTTGTTTGTAGAGGGTGGATTACGAAAAAAATCGAAATAATTTTTAGAACGTTTTCATATCCAGAACATTCAAGGTATGGAACAAACGAACACGCCGAAGTAGAGCAGAATTTAATTTTCTGAGAGATACCTTGGTTACATTTCCAAGTGCATTTGTATGACAAGCACGGGATTTTCGATCACAAACGCCTAACAAATTACGTATGTCCTTCCTGATCAAAGCTGAAGTTGTTCGTAAAAAAGTTTGATCAGCTACGATTGGCAAAAAAAAGGGAATAAATATCACGAATAGTCGGCAAAATACCGGAATTGTTCGAAGAAACAATTCAGACAAAAACACCAGAAACTTCGTGAGTGAGTATCAAATGAAATTTTATTTGAACAAGCGTGCTGGTCATTCTCAATCACTGTAGCCACGAACGAGGCATCTTTTAAAAGAAACGTGAACAAGGTTTCATTGTTTTTTTTTCTCAATGCCGTTCGTAATATCGTTCACGACGAACGATCGTTCGAAAAGAGGCTCCTTGGTTTTCGGTCAACCTACTACAGTAGGAACTTATTTTTCAATTCAAGTTTACCCGGCTTTGACAAGCTGAGAAATTCATTTGAGATGAAGTCTGACATTTGTCATGAAACTGTCATCAATTTTCAAATCTTCGAATCTTCAAACCCAAAAAATATTGTCAGCAATCAAAAAATGACTCTTAAACTTTACCGGAAAATTTGCAGAGAAGGTTTGGGACCCATTAAATGTCACTTCAACCCATTTTGAATCATGGCGACACATCGAAAAAATATCAAGTACGAGCCACATTGAGTTTCAGCTCATCTTTTCGGTATTTCTCACCTTCAGAAATACATCCGAAGCATTGAAGAAGAAACAAAAAGTGTTCAAAACGAAAAAATAAGTGATTTGCGAAATGCTCGCAAAGAAACTCATTCCGTTTGAATTGCCTCGTATAAAATGCACTACTTTTTTGAGACTTCAAGAATATCACAATGAAAGGGAATATTAAAAAGTAGAATACAAACCGAATGAGATCCATGATGGAAGACTCGGCTTTCTTCGGTGACAAGGGAGTCTCAACTTTTCTGGTTTCCTTCTGCGCAGTGAAAAAAATACACGGTCTAGAGAAATCCTTCAGAGAGAAAAAAATGTTTCTGAGCCTTACATCTGGAAATTCTTCCTTTTTAACCACAGATTCCTCAGATTTCGTCGTCGGTTTTTCCACCCACTTCTCAACCACCTCTTCGCGCTTCTTCTTGCTTTTCTTTTTTTTCCGTTTCCTCTCTTCACTACTGTCCCTAGTTTTCTTCACTTTCTTCCCCTTCTTAACTTTTTTCTTCTTTTTCTTTTTCTTCTTTTTCCGCTCTTCTTCTGATTCACTGGAGGATGACGATGAGGACGATACAGATGACGAGGATGAGGAGGAAGATGATGAACTGCGTCGCTTTCGGCTTTTCTTCTTACCCTTTTCTCCCATCAGTTTCAGGAACTGGCCAAACTTTTCATCGGCTTTTGGATCATTCGGATCCAATAGGTCTTGAAATTTAGATTTCAGTTCCTCGCTGCAGAGAGTGAATAGCCATTCTTCAATGAGCAACGAAATAAATGCAAAATTCGAGGAATCACTTACATTCTCTGAACTTTCTGGGACTTTTCGTTGCCTTTCTTCGGAAACGCCTTCAGCAAGAAATCGACAGGATCTATTCGCTTGTACGCAACACTACAAAATAAAATCCGGATTTTTTTCAAAATCAATCGTCTATCGAAACGAAACCTCTGGCCATCTCTCGTGAACTTACGTCGCAGTTTCCGTAATTGTATTTACAGCACTGGTCGTCCCAGCTGACACAGAGGTATTCGAGCAAATGCCATTGGAAAAAAAGACTGTCTTTTGACAGATTTCGGTCACAATTTCCATCTTCAACGAAGAACTCAGGTCTTTCACGAATTCGAGGTGATCCACGGGTCTACGGAAAGTTAGTCTGAAAATACTGCTCGAAACTCTGCTGTGACCAGCGATGTCCCGGTAACTGAAATGAGACAATCGAAACGCCGATGTGTTCAAAATGAAGACTTCCAAAAGCAGGATGAGAAACATGAGTTTTCGAACGGTGAAAATAAAATTTTATAACTATGGCACAAACAGGCGAAAAAAATGTAGGTTCAAGGTTTCCATGATTTCAAAGGTGGACCAAAAAAAAGAACTTTTCATAACCATTTTCTTAGCCTTGAGTTAGCAAATGTCGTTAAATGCAAAAATAAAGAATTCCGAAGTTTCAAATCGTGCAAATGTAACGAAGCGTACGTCGAAAATTATAAGTGTTCGTTTGAGATGTCAATTTGTATTATCGTCTGATCAGCTCAACATTTTATTGGTATTGTTCGCTGGAAGTAACAAACGTTATTCCTTTAACGCATCAATATTCGAAAACTGACGTCATCAAAAATAGTTTAAATTTTTTTCAACAAATCCGTATTCACGATTATGAAAAATCTCAAAAACTGCTGAAACACAGAATTTGCACGGGAAATGAATGTGTCTACAAAATTTCACCCAATCGTACAATCAGAAAAAATCTAAATTTCACAAACAAGATTTATCACACATTCACGTCAAACAGAGTAGATTTTCATGAAAACCACTTACGCGTCAACTGCTTCGAAAAGTTGTCGGTCGGTGAATGTATCCACACCTTGAATCTCAAATTCTCGCGGAGACAAACTGATCAATTTGAGCGGCTTCTCCACCAGTTCAGCCTTGATCTTTTCCACGAATTCTCGGGCCTTTTCATCGTGGGGATCGTGAAAGAGCACAGTCTCGAAGCATTTCATGGCTGCACTGTGGTCCAGGGCTTTGTAGAACTCTTCACCACGGAATCGTTCCACACTGACCAGGTAATTGATCGCAGTCGAGTTCTTCGGATCCATTGAAAGCGCTTGTTGAAGATCACGGAAGGCAGGGGAGTATCTTCCACTGTTGGCATGCCTGGAAAAATGAAGATTCAAAGAACCATAAACACAGGATTTAACATCAACATACACAAGTCGCACTTCAAGGGACCAGCAAAAAAATTCAACTCACAGAGGTTTCGAGTTAGGGAAACAAGCATTCATGGTACGGGAAAGAAAGAAGAATTAAAATAAATTGTAATTGGTGATATTCTGGTCCTCGATTAGCTTCTTAAATGAGTTGACAGGATGCTGAACTTGAGGCAAAGGTTCATTTGCCGAAGTAGTCTTTCACTTCCATTCAAAACCCGCCGAGTTAATTTATTTTTTATTTTCTTCTTTCCTCTGTCAATAAAATAATAGCCCAAAAGGCCATCAGAAAATTTGATTTGCGGATGTTCAAGGAGGAAATCCTTCGACTGAGGGAAATTTTTAATGCCCTACTTTTAAGGAAATTTAAAAAGGGAGTTGATAAGGAAGTTCGAGTTATTGAGGTTCAATTGTGATAGAGCAGACCAACAGAAACATCTACGCCTTCTCTGCTACTAGCCACCACAGGTTGAAATTATTGTTGATATCACAACCAGAGGACACTGAAATTTGCCGCCTTCCGAATTTCATTTCATTTCAGGTCAAACGCGCTACAATTGAAATTTCATCGATTTATTGCTTCTTGGTATGAAAGAAATCCAATGAAAAGTAAAAATCTGGAACCTCGAAATAATCGAGCACAGTTTATTGTATTTATAACATTTGGGGATTATTCGTGGTGAACTATTGTGCCTCGATATTTGAAAAGTCTTGGTAAAACGTACGTCACGTGCGAATCCCACAAATGAAAAATATTTCCAATCGAAGCCCTAAGAAAATCACTCACATGACTCCGCGATAAATGTATGCATCCACATTCTCAGGATCCATTGTCAGGGCGTTGTTGAAATATCCTTCACATGAATCCAATTTCCCTTGCCTGATCAGTTCCACGCCATACTCCACATTTTCCCTCGCTGCGAGTCTTTTTTGCCGCTTTCTCAAATTTCCCGGCTTGGAACATTCCGAGATTTCTGGCCTTCAATCACCAAAAAATGCGAGTAGAAAATTCGGAAACTGATTTCACGATATATTGTACTCACGAGTGGAATGTCAGAAAGCTGCTTCTGCTTTTCAAATCAATGCCGAACGATGATGCGAGAAATTCCACGCATCTGGGATTGAAGAAGCTTTGAGATTTGAGCAGCGTTTCCTCGTAAGAGGCCTCCTTGCCCGGCACGCCAATTTCATTATTCTTCCTGTAGGCAAAGAAAGTCGTTAATTCGACGAGACTGACGGACAACTTCCGGAACACCTTCATTAAATAATTTATCATAATAAAGTTGAATCTCTCCAAGTCGAACTTCAAGGGAACACCAAATTAAATTCGAGTTCGGAGCAAAATAAGTATTTGTGTTGAGGAAATGAAAGAAGAACTACAGGAAATTTCAATTGGTGATATTCTAGGTCTTGAATATTGCTTCTTGAATGAGATGTCGGAATGCTGAACTTGGAAGCAAGGGTGTAATTGCCCAAAACGTCGTCTACTTCCTCTCAAAACACATCAAGTTACATTTTCATTGCTCTTCTCCTTCCCTTTTCAAATAAAACAATATCAACAAGGTCTCCGGAAACCGACTCTCAGAGGTTTTTGGGGGAAAGCCTTTGAGTCAGGAAAGTTATTTAAAATACATACAGAATCTTAATGTACAAAATCATTTCTACGGGAATTCAGACAAAGACTCGGGAAAATGTAGACATAGGGAGGTATTCTAATTAAGGAGGCTTGATGCATCGAGCTTTAAAAGTATTACAACCCTAGAAAATGGACAGGTTGGAAGCGATTTTTTCCTTTTCATTCTTGACCCCAGTGTTCAGAACAAATAGCCAACATCTGACTGTGCGTGATTAAATTAATCCTCGTCAAACTTTTGAGGAAAATAGCACGTATTCCCGGATTAAATACGGTTTCGATTAATTTCATTGATCCATTATTCATTGAATATACTTCCATAAAAACAAGCCGACTCACCTGTAAGATTCAGGCAAGTCGTCGTTCTCAATTTTTCCGAGGGCAACTTGATGAAGTAAACTGGGAGGAGCATATTTCCCTTGCATTCCCAGAAAAATGTGTCCATTCGCTCGATTCATCCCCATAACTTCACAGCGTAGAAGAGTGTTGACATTAAAAACTCCAGCATCTGGCGGCATTTCACTCAGGGACATAATACCCTGGGCAAATCATAATTAGTTTAAAAATCCCAATGTAGACATTCAATGTTTTAACTCTCGACTCACCATGATATCCAGATCATGAATTTGTCTAGATTTCGGTGGTTCCAACGCAAGGATTTTTACTTGTATTTCATTTCGCAGAAGCGACGTGACAACACCAACAACCATATCACCAGCTCGTATCAACTAGGATCATCGCAATCGATAAAATATGAATGAAAATCGCCTGATAACGTAGCAGAACTCACATCATATACGCTTTTCCGTCTGATTGATTCGGGAATCTTCAGAAACCTTTCAAGCGGTGGGAGAACCGCATAATAACCTGCGAACCAAACTATATTGCAACAAATTGCATACGTAAGGCAACGAAGAATTCGCATTACCGCTTTCATTCCTCGCTTCGAAAGCATCGCGGTTGACGTTGAGTACAAAATCGCGCTTCTGGAAAAGCCAGGTCGCATTATTTTTTATGAAGTTAAACAGAAGTCCCTTTCTCCGGGGGTTCCAGTACCTGAAATGTAATAATTCTACCCTGAGGCTTCAGCCGAACTCATACACAGCGAGAAGCAACGAGTCACATGGACTGTGGTACACTCACAAGAGACCGGGGTTCTTGTAGTCATTGAATCGACCCTCCCAGCACTCGATCGCGCGAATCCAATCCGGATGAGTTTCGCTGAAGCTGATCAACAGTTGTTCTCCATGGAAGCTCAATGACTCCGCAAGGGCGCTCTCATTAAATCCCACAGGTGCTGCCTGAAAAATAAGAATATGACGAGCACTTCAGAGTTATGAGAGATCGAGACCGCTGGAAAACGTACGTCAACCATCGAGTTCGATGCCATGACGGAAGACTGCTGTGGTCGTAGATTAGTCGGAACACCGAAGGTGCGACACAATTCTAACGCCGATTCATAACTCGCATTTGGTTCTCTGTCAAGATCACATAAATCGGGTATTTTTTCAATACCATTCCGTCTCCCACTCACACGATTAGTCACTGCCACGATCACGATTTACCAAGCTTCACCAACGTCACAGAAGCCGCTGCGATCCCGGCTGAAAACCGCCTGATAACGGCGCCTCTACCGGTATAATTCATCAGCAAATTCTCAACCCTAGGTGGCATATACAATACTGTACTGTACTCCTCATCGTTTTGTATAACTCAAGAAGGTAAATTGCAACGAGAATCCAACCTCTCATTCAAATCTGAACCTCTGGACGTCAAAGTGTTTCATTATATAATTTCTCGCATGCTTTTCTTTTTGCGCAGGATTTCCAAATTACTGTATTGGAGCGGTATGGCATCTGTTCAGCGTTTCCATCCATGAAGATACAGTACAGTACCTGCAACATTTGTTGCTGTGGGTGTACCAGGCAGGGTATAATCCCCAGGCACAGCATACTCCTCTGTCACACATCCGCGAAGTTCTGCAGAGGCTTTTCCGCAGTGAGCACTTACGCGGTGGTTAATTCCACAGAATTGAGAGGAAAGTTAATTCCACGCGATTCTTGAAGTGGCGTTTACTTTGGGAAAAAATTGAATTCCTCAAACATATATCTTCACAGTAGGCCTTAGCATGGTCGGTACAATATCATGCCACACAATGTGGGCAAAGTTTATGCCGTGCCGTCTACACCGAAGAAACTGGGTAGCGGGCGTGTTCGCCTTTACTGACCGCAAGAGGAATAACTTGTAATTTGTCAGTCCCCTGGTCCAGCGAAGAGTGCATTTCGGAAGGAATTTTTATAGTTTAAAGTAGCTCTTTGTGTGTTGTAAACGCGATATTAGGGCAAGTGAGAGGTAAGTGCATCTCCGAGACGTCGTTCGATTGTTCTCAACTGGACGAAGTGCGACTTAATGATGCGTTCGAATAGGTCACTCGGAAATCACTACCTGCGGTTTGTTTTCGAACATTTACTGGAGGCGTAAGATAGGATGTACTGTGAAGCATGGCTAAACCCATTATATTGAGGGTTGGGCGGGTGCCAGCCCGAAGTGGAAATCTCGTGAACCTTCGGGTGGGGAAACCTTCGGCGCTGAAGGACCCTGTGCTTCTGTAACAAACTTGTTTCTGATGAGAACTCTGCGTGGATGGTGGAAAATCTACGTTTATTTTGTACGAGTAGACGTGTCCACTGTCGTTTTGACGCAGTTTCACTGATCTACAGAGAAGTTGAACCGGTACTCATCTGCGCGATATTGTTCTGTGAATGAGAATGTAATTACAATTCAGATGCTCGGATTCTTTTTGAATTTCTCTCGATTTCAAAGTCACCGTTCTTTTATTTTATTTTTCAGATAATATTAATTCCGGCATTCAGTTGCTTAAGAAGAGAACGGCCTGCCGTGTCCGGCCTGTTCACTTACTTCGTGAACCTTGGCACCTTCGTACAAAAATTTCATCTTATCATGGGTTCTCGCCACGACCACAGTACATCCGCAGAAGTTCAACCGAAGAAACACAAGAAGTCGAAGTCAAAACACGAAAAGTAAATCTTCGATTCGAAGAATTCAGGGAGCTCATTATTCCTAATCCTAATTCGTTACAGGAAAAAGTCGAGCGTGCGGGAGAAGGAACGTGAAATAGATCGTCAGAAGAGGCACAAACGAAAAAGTGAGCGCAAAGAACGAGAAGAATATTCTGGAAGACAATTAACTCATGAAGAAACTGATCTAGAGCTTCTCGACATCACCGAATCATCCGACGGGGTCTCCGACACAAATTTGGACCAACTACTCCAGCAAAAGGTGATTATTCTTCTATTGATTCTTCCCTGAAATGCTACCTATATACCGTATTCACACGATTATAAGAATGATTTTTTTGTCGATGCATCGAAAAATCAGATCAAGTCCTCGATCCACAATTCAGGTTGGTCTAGAAATGTAATAAAATTATGAGTTGAAAAATCAACCAGTTTCCTTGCTAAGGGTAAGTTCATGGCATGATTTTAATCGGAAACCAGAAATGCAAATTGAAGGTGGGAATCGGAGAAGCATCTGATAACTTCTTGGTTTATTAGCATGGTTTAGAGACATTTTTTCATTGGAAATTATTGTTTTGCTAACCCTGTGCGAGAATGTTTATGGTAAGTTGTACAATCAAGGAGGGAGATTCTCCGATAGATCTGTTGAGTTTTTAAAACGCGTCCAGAGTTGAAGACGTCTTCAATCCGTGTGAATACGGTATTTTCGTTCACGAACGAATCTATTCATTGACACGCACTGTATCGATGTTGAACATATGGCGAGCTGGTCTTCTGATTTTTGTTTCAATGCGAAGGAAAATCCGCATTTTTTAACGTTTACTTGACGGATTTTGTCGCTTCAGTCCTTCCTACAGTGGAATTCCAGGGGATCCGAATACGCGGTATGCTCAGATCGAAGAACCGTTTTGCGACTGAGTATGGTTCTCAGACTTCTCTTCTCGACAGTCATTCGTTAAATTTCTGTGTTATCTTGAGCAGGAAAAACTCATGGCCGCTTTGAGCATGGCAGAAACAGAGCCTGTTCAGGACAAAAAAAGACGAAGTAAATCTCGCGAGCGAGGTAAAAAGCGAAGCCGCGGGCCAGACGAAGAAGATAGCGGTAAGAGACGGAAAGAGGAACGGAACGGTGCTTCTAAGGAATCCAGTTCCGGACATCGTCGATCTCGGGAACGCCATCTTAAGAACCATGGCGGACAACATCACCAGCGGGAACCTGATCGTTCTGTGGGCAATCATCAGCATCGCGATTCAACTGCGTCGAGATCAACACACGAACGAGGTCGTCGGGATGATCGTGACCGACGCCGAGTAGAGAATCGGAAAGACGAAGACTTGCTTGTGGGATTGCGAAGGGAGCAAGAGATGTTGACTAATCGAAATCGAAGACGGTCTCCGCTGATGGAGAACAGGCGGATGCGGGACAGGGAAGGAGACCGGAGACACGACAGGGGAAGAGATCGACGTCCTTTTGATCACAAGGATAATCGACGGGATAGGAAGGATAGGAATTATAAACCGCGGGATCAGGACTCGCATCAGTCTGAGCAACAGTCCCGAATTGAAGATGAAGAGTAAGTATTTCAAAAATATTTGTGTCGGAAAAGAAACTCCGCGTTTGAACGAAGTCTAGTTTTGCAGTGCCTTGGTGTTTACCAGAATTAAGCTGAACAGCTGAGTATCGTATTTGTTCAAGCACTGCGCACACCTTTTTTTTTTCTAGAATTTACACGGAAAAAGGAGTGCGCACTTTATAGGTAGATATACAATTTTTGAGAAATATATTGGCGCGTCTTGCTGTACAGTATTTGATTCTAATGGGAAATTTCATACACTTTTACTAAAACGCTGTTGTGGAAATGATGCAAATTAGTTGAATTCGGGTTCAGTTTGTGTTCAAAATCTGGTGTGTTTACTTCTTGAAATATTGCAGTCACTAAAAATGGTGTGCGCGTCTTCACAGGAAGTCGGAATCAGTGAGATTGTATGCTTCAAATGTCTTGACAAAATGCCAAACTTGGAGACAAGAGTTTGTTTTCCAAATTAGTATTATCACTTCCTTTAAAAACACATCAAGCCAAATCTTATTGCTTTTCTCTATCCCGTGTCAATAAAATAAAAGCCAAAAGGCCTCCAGAAAATTTGAGTCATGGAGATTCTGAGAACTGAGGCCTTCGAGTTGGTGAGGTTTTTTGATGCGTTGTTTCTAATGGAAGTCAGAGAGGTACTTAGAAATTCGAAGTATAAAGAGTTACTGTATTTAAGTTAATGAGGTTCAACTGTATGTGCTTGTATTTTCGCGAATCCTTAAACCGCCTGTTCCCTGAGTAAATTTTAAAATTCGAAACTCGTATGATAGTGAGTGATCACCAAATTATTCCTCAGCCAAATTTGTTGAAAATGCGAAAGAAAAAAAATATTGCGAAACCCAACTTTTTGTGGTGCGACTTGAGAATCTCACAAATGCTGCAAATGCAAAAATACCGTTGGTTGAGATTTGAGATATCACGTTCTTGAATCACCAGAAGCAGGACTTCTAAATACGCCAAAATTGCTTATCTTGAGTCTAAGTTCCCCTTTCCATCATGCATAATTTATTATTTGAATCGAAGCTTGAATGAAACTTCCTCCCATCATTCGGTGGGTTTTTGTAGAGCTTGATTCAATTTTATTTTTCAATGATCTTAGTGACTGCAACGAAACCGATGAAAATTATAAATTTGTCCACCATTCCAAACTATCTTATTGCACTTGAATAAGAATCTGAATTTAGCCTTTAGGCCTCGAAAAATTGTTTTATTCGTCAATGGGAAACCCAAAGAAATCATGTCTTTTCGAAGATTTGCGCTCTGTATCTGATCCGTGTAATTTCTCACTTTCGGCTTAAGCATTCACTTCGTTCAGATTTTCGAAAAATGTATCTGTTTTCGAAACACGTTTCCTAGCCGTGAATTCGCTCGTGAAATTGTGGAAACATACTCTTGTCAATTTTCAACATTGTTTTTACTTCAGGTTGAAACATGTGGAAATGATTGACGAAGATGAAGACGAAGAGCAAGTGATTGAAAGAATGCGTCGGGAGCGTCAAGAACGACTCAAGAAGTTAGCGGAACGCGGCGACAGCCTAGATGCGACATCTATCGCAGCATCTCCGGCCACCCAGGGCGCCGACGTTGAACCCATGTCCATAGACGAGTACAAATCCATCACGGCGTCCCCGTCGGAAAGCAAAGCTGTGGATGAAACTCGTCAGCGGTCCAAGTCTGTAGAATCGTCCTCTTCGTGTTCTTCGTCGAGCCGAAGCGACGAGAGATCTTTTGATGAAAAAGCAATCAGGAAGAGAATTGAAGAGCGATTAAAGTTGAAGTTTTCTCAGGAAACCGAGCAAGACCGGACGAACCGCCTGAACTTACTCAAGCTTCGCACGGAGGCCCTTGAGGAAGAGCAGCAGTTGGCTGAGGCTGCTCCTGCAGAAAGTTAGTATTTTTCCCGTCCTTCTTTTTTTCTCCTGTCGTTGGTCACTAGAATACGGGTCCCCTCTCTCTCTACCTACAACGAAATTCAGGGGAGTAGGAACAAATTATTTTTTAGAGATAATCTCAATATTTTAACTAGAGGCCCCAATGGGACGAACAACAAATTTTTTATACAGTATTGTGAAATTCAGAGAAAATCGTTACTGTATGAGGCGAAGTCGTTGTAGCGAGTCGTATTTAGTGGATTTTTGAGCTACAAACCTATTACTTACAGAGCCCGGGTTCTGCAAATTTTATGAGTTTTAGAATCCCAAATTGTAAACAAATCGAAAAAGCAATTTGAAAGTTTAAAAATTGAGATTTTGAGGGAATTTTATTTCCTTTCTTTTCTAATTTTTGTAATTTACCAATGTTTGCTCTGCATTCTTGTCAGTTTGTTTCAATTTTCCCTGCTTTTTTCAATCCTTGATAATCTTCTACCCTGGATTCGATCGGACGTTTATCCTTAGGCTACCTCTGGAAATTAAGCATTACATAGAGAACTCTTTGAGTGTAATCGAGAAGTTTCGTTGCTCTAGGCATTACTGTATAAGATGATGTCAACTTCAAAACATGCTTCTTTTTCAACTTTTCTGTGAGAACCTAAAAAGCTCATCCAATTAATTTTTTTTTACATGGAAGAATGCATTGATTCTACTCATGCTCCTGTCACAATATTCCTCTGCGAGATTTCTACTAGAAATCAGGATTTTAATTATTAAATCCATGAATTTAGGTTGGGCTATCAACAGAAAAATTCTGGGAGCCATGAAAAGAATTCGATAGGGAGAACATTTTGTTGTGGAGAGCTTCCGTCATGTAGCAGACAAAAAAATTGTATACTGTGCACAGAAAATCTTTGTTGAGAGAGTCTTCCTGGTTTTGATTAAATTTAACGATTCTTATCTAGAAGGGAATGTTGTTTTTAGGAAAGCTAAAATTGACTGACGAATCAAAGACGTGTCCTGATTTTTTTGGGCTATTTTCAACGTAATAAAGTGCTTTTTTTACTGTTTTTGAGGGATTTTTTTGCGCCACAATTGGCTAAAAAAAAAAAAACTCGGGGTATGTCTGACATTCGCTGATGACATGTGTGATCGCTCAGTCATTTCCAACAAACACGGCACAATCATCTGGAAGGAATGGTGTGAGATTTAAGTGGAAGAATCCTAGCTAGTGTCAAAGTTCCGATCATTGAAGCGTTCTTACGTAAATGTCGTTGCTTTCTATTGTTTTAAACAGAGAGTGTGGATGACCAGGCGAAAGACATGTTCGCCGAAAGCTACGAGGAAGTACAAAGAAAGGCCAACGAAACGACGGGTTTCACCGACAGCAGCATATCGACGGAGACGTGCGACGACAGTGCCGGCTACTACCGGGTGCGTCTGGGCGAAGTGCTGGACAATCGATACACCGTGTATGGGTTCACAGGTCAGGGCATCTTTTCGAACGTGGTCCGTGCCCGGGACCAAACGCTGGAGAACAAGGAAGTGGCCATTAAGATCATTAGGAACAACGAGTTGATGCACAAGTCGGGCCTGAAGGAGCTGGAGACGTTGCGGAAGTTGAATGAGACTGACCCCGGGGACAAGTATCATTGCTTGCGGTTGTTTGGTAGCTTTTTCCATCGACAGCATCTGTGCATGGTGTTTGAGCCGCTGGCCATGAACCTGCGAGAGGTGGGTTTTATTTTTTAATTTATGGGTTTCGAGTCCTTCCAGCACCTACTGCAGATTTGACTGCCTGAAAAGATGTACAGTACGTCGAGACGCAAGGAGCACCAGAGGCAGTTACCCGTCCTCATAGCAAGTTTTGATTCTAGGATTAGACTTTGAATTTATGGCCTTACAGAAGAAGAAACCAAGAGCCTTTCTTTTTGGATTTCGGAGAACTACATTTTCTCTCACTGGTATCATAAAAAAAAAGAAACAATCACGAAATCATCATCAGATACAATCACCATGGGTTTCATGATAAAACTAGTTTTCGAAGACAACAAAAATACGTGCTGTGTCATGTAAAACTTTTTGCACAAGACGCAATCACTCTCATCTTGGCATACTGAAGCGCAAATCTTAATCAATATTTGACCTATACAATCGTACGCGTTTTAAATTGAAGCTGAAGATATATCCTAACGTTTTTTTGTGATCGTATTAAAATTGATCCTACTAACGAATCTTGAGCTATACTCAGTTCTGTGAAATACAGTACAATGTTTCTTTGGCGGTATAAATCTCTTAATTTCAGTGGGAAACGTGCACCCAATACAGTATTTCTATGTTAATGGTACACAAGCTTGTGGTGCAACAGTGACTTCAAGAACCTAGTTCAATGATAAGTGAATGAATTTATTTCTGCAACAGTCATCTGAATTTTTAATGATGGAAAGAGTGCGTTTTGGTCAGTTTTTATTTTATTCATTTTAAAGCTTATATTCTTGGTTAGGTTGTCCGATTTTATGTGAAGTTAGTTCAGACAAGGTTTTTGATTACAGTACAGTACTTTCAGTATGACATAGTTTTTGGTTGAGGGTATTTAAATAAGCTGATACCTATCTCAAAAGGGACTCGGATAATTTGAGACAGAAAATTTGAGGCAGGATCAAGTTGAGACAGGGTCATTCAGAGAGAGGGCCAATTAGGAATAGCAAAAGCGAGGTATTCGCATATACTGCATCTTCACCTTCATTTTCTTTCCTTTTTATTTTTTTTCAAAACTTATATAACTTATATTTGTGAAGTGCAAGAGGGACCAGTACCCAAGCAACTCTGCTGATGCACCTGCAATTTTTTTTCTCCCCGAGATCCTTGGAGAATTTCCAGGAATTGTCTATTGTATTAAATTTTCTGGTTTGATGCAGCAGACCACTTCTTAAGAAAAACTTGTTCTCCCTAATCTTTGTGGCTTTACAAGGTCTCCAAGTTTGAATTTTCCTGTCTTCTCAGAAAACTTTGTTTGAAAACTAAAATTGGAACTACTATAAAATTGAAAATAAAATTAGCCTAACTTTTGACAAAAAGGTTAAATTTTTTTTCCTTTTCCCCCCTTCAATATAAGATATGAGAGAGAAACCTGGGAAAGTCATTTTTGCAAATGCTTCAGTCTCAAATTTTCCCTGTCTCAAATTGGTCTGGTCTCAAGTTGGTCCTGTCTTGAATTGTCTCCCTTAAATTGTCAGATGATATTCAAGAATGTTCCTTCACCTGTTTAATGGTTGGTAATAGCAGCAGTGTTTCAGAAAAGACTGTAGTTGGAAATGAGGGCGGGAATTTGTTGCCCGTTATGTTATGTGTTACTGTATTTCCACTTCAACGCCTTGAGTTTCCTGTTGGAATGTCAGGAATGTGTCTACTGTGTCACTTACCTGACTGAGGCGATTTCTACAAAACTTGTTTGCATGGAGAGCCGTGAACTCGGAGAAACTAGGCGTTGATGTCGAAAGCACTACAACTTTGAATTTATCCAATAGCTCACTGTTTATTCGAGATTATGATTTTACGGGCATTTGAATTTCGCAGGTTCTGAAGAAGTACGGGAAACACGATGGGTTACACATGAAAGCCGTGCGCTCTTACGCGCAACAGCTTTTCCTCGCTTTAAGACACATGAAGAAGTGTCAAATTTTACACGCGGACGTGAAACCTGACAATATTTTGGTGAGCAACGCGTTTCTTTTATTCATATTCCATACAATGGTGAAATGGAGGAACATGTTAATGTTTGATATTTGGTTGCAGGTTAGTGAAAACAAATTGGCTCTGAAGCTGTGTGATTTCGGCTCTGCCTCGACGATCGAGGAGAGCGACATAACGCCATACCTCGTGTCTCGGTTTTACCGGGCGCCAGAAATTAGTGAGTGCATTTGGGAGACGAGATTACCGAATTTTCTTCTTCCATTTTGTTGTTTTCGTATTGTACGTTGATGGTGGTGTTTTAATTTAAAGGTGTTCGTGAATTTTATTTATTTTTTGCTTTGATGATATTTCATGACTGAAACGAGTGCAGTGGGGTCCCGAGATGCGGACGTAAGTGTTGCTTGGCCCTTGTCCCTGTGTTGGAACGTTCGCATTTTGGATCACGTTTTCCCTCAAACTTCAATGGGGATATTTTGAATTGGTTCTCCTGTTGATCGAAAATCAGGGAGCCGTACACCAAAAAATTGAATGAAATAATTTTTCTCAAGTGTAATGCAGAAAAAAAATTGAACAGCAGAAAACCATGTACTGTACAATTAGTTTGTTTTGGATTATGACTGGCAAAATTTTGCGAGGAAATGATTTGAAGTGAATTTGAATAAGATTTATTTTTCAATTTTTTTTTATGTTGAAAGCTCCATTTTGTTCAAGAGTTGAATTTTTTTTAAACAAAATTTTTCCATTTGTCTAGAAACTTTGGTGAAGTCCGTATCTTAAGACATTGTCCAGGTGTTGAGGCAGATTTTTTTTTTTTTTGCTTGAGGTGTCTGTGAGTCGATTTGTCCATATGTCGGGGCTCCGCTGTAAATTATAAGAATGCCGTGAAATCCGTGCGACTTTTAGGTTAGAATAATGTTTTCAATTTCTACGATCCTGTGAACTAATTATTTTCGAGGGCATTCTGGCTCAAGAGTTTCCAAAATTGACCAAATTCTTACCTCAGTTCCTTTTTCTCCCAGCGTCCTTGTTTTCATGAAGAGTATTTTTGTGGTTTTTCCTCGTGAATTTTAATTTTGAGATTGGAACCCCCGCGCTTTGAAAATTAGCTTCCGTCTTTAAATTTTTTTGGCGGATGGTTGGAATGCTTCTTTTTGATGGATTTTTCAATTTCCTTGAAAGTCTCAGAAGCAAAAGTACGCTTCTTTTTTAAACCCGAAACATATCATAATTTTTATTTCGGTACAGTTTTTTGTCGCAAACCTACTTTTGAAAATAACGCGGTTATCAAATTTGATGTTCAAAGTTTTTGTTTCTGCAGTTTTAGGAATGAATTACGACTACGGCATTGACATGTGGGCGGCTGGCTGCACGATCTTCGAGTTGTATAGTGGCAAGTACATGTTCCCGGGTCGAACAAATAACGAGGTATGTTTTCCCCCCGATTTGAAAGCATGACTTGTAGGTCCTTTCCTCTTGCTTGCTTTTTTTTTTATAATCGTCGGAGAGAATATTTTCTTCAGTCCCGTGACAGTTCTTCGAAGATACTTTTTGGCTTTTCAATTATTTGTTGGCACTGAAGGGATGTAAGAGCGTGATGGTAAATTGATTTTGTATGATTCTTTCGTTGAATGTTGCAGATGTTGAAGTTGTTCATGGATCTTAAGGGGAAGATTTCAAACAAGTTGGTGAAGAAAGCCGCCTTCAGAGACCTGCACTTTGACGAGAAGTGCAATTTCATTCATAGGGAATACGATCGATTGACGGAACGTGTAAGTATATGCATATTAATGAATTTACCTTAGTACCACGCGCTCTTTTTTTTTCTTGCAAAATTATGGCAAAAGGGGGGTTGGCATGGTATGTAGAATTTTTTTTAAACCGAAAATAATGACACTTGTGGTTTTGAGTCATAGGAGAGTCTTCGAAGGAGAGAATAAAAATAAAAAATTTTGTACAGTACTTTTATTCTTGTACAGGTGGTGCCCCGCAATTCAACCGTAATCCATTGCTGGACTAGAGTAAAATTGAAAAATGGTCCAATTGCGAGACACCATGTAAAATTGAGAAAGAGCAGCACAAAAACACTGCAAAAGTGTGGGTGAAGGAGGTTAGATTTTGAAAGAAAGAAAGAATTACAGGAAATTGTAATTGATATTCTGCGCCTCTAATTGCTTCTCGAATGAGTTGACAGGATGCTGAAGTTGGAGGCAAGGATTCATGTGCCCAATTAGTCTTTCACTTCCTTTCAAAACCCACCGAGTTGGATTTATATTGCTTTCTATTTTCCTGTGTCAATAAAATAGTAACCAAAAGGCCTCTATAGAAAAGTCTAGTTGTGGAGGTTTAAGAGGGAAAACCTTTTGAGTTATCATGGATGAGGTCTTCATTATGCATAGTTTCAATAAATGGAATTAAGATACGAGGGTTCTAACAAAAGTTCTCGGAGTAGCAATGAAAATGGCCTACAGTTGAGCTGGAAAAAATTTTTTCTTTAGGGAAAACATATTCCTTGGCCCACAAAAATATATCAGCCCTGTTTGACAAAATTATTATTATTTTTTTTTTTTCATAATTCACCCTGGCAGAGTTTTGCTCTCCACTCAAAAGATGAGGCGCCCTTTTTTTGCTGTAGCCCAGCTTTCCTCTCAGAATTTTTGAAATCAACTTGGCATTCTTTCTAAGGGTTGTCTTCAGGTCATCCAAGGCAATTCCGCCATTTTCATCAATAGCCGCCTTCACAGCCGCCAATGTGGCGCCACTATACATAACGAAAAAAGGGCGCCTCATCTTTTGAGTGGAGAGCAAAAACTCTGCCAGAGTGAATTATGAAAAAAATATAAAAAAATTGTCAAACAGGGCTGATATTTTTTTGTGTGCCAAGGAATATGTTTTCCCTAAAGAAAAAATTTTTTCCAGCTCAACTGTAGGCCATTTTCATTGCTACTCCGAGAACTTTTGTTAGAACCCTCGTAGAGGGATGGAAAAAAAATCGACTCATACGAGGAAGGTATTTGAGTTTATTTCGAGGTTCAACCGTAATTTTTATTTCTTTTGTCAATAAAATAGTAGTTAAAAGGCCTTCAGAAAATCCGAATTAAGCAGGTTTGAGGAGGGGAGATTTTTAATGCTTGGTTTCTAAAGGAATTAGACAGAGACTTGAAAAAATATTAGGTAGGGAGATTTGAGTTGTCAATTTCAGCTGTTTGAGATTCCATCATTTACTGTTTGTTTTTTTTTTTTAGGAAAAAACGACGGTGATAACCTCGATGCAGGCGTCGAGAGATTTGCACGGGGAATTGATTGGCAACCAGAAATTGCAGGAGGACCACGTGCGGAAAGTGGCGCAGTTGCGGGAGTTGTTGGATCGCATCATGGTGTACGACACGAGCCGTCGGATCTCGGTCTCTGAAGCGTTGTCACACGCTTTCATTTCTGAAAAATTGGCGTGATTTCCATTAACTCTTGGTCTTCTCTCTCTCTTCTTTGTTTCTTTTCGTCCCCACTACTTTCCGAATCTGTTTCTGTAAGTCACTCGATCGAGATGTCTGGAAGCGAGCGAGAAGATGTTGTCTCTCATCCGTCGGGCTTTGCACTGCCTGGGACTGGAGCTGTTGAAAGAGGGAGAGAAAGAGAGAGAGCGAAAGAATTTAGTCGAGACTGGTATTTCACCCTCCCATGTTTTATCTCGTTATTACGTATATGCTTTTTTTGTTTTTTCGTAGCAATGGATCTTTCCCATTATGAGGAACCGGTTTTTTTTCATGTTGTTCTGGCTATTTTTCCTATAAAAGAAATCGCTTATTCTTGGACTTGGTCAGTTGATTCTTTGAATAGTTGGACTTGGGTAACATTTTCGGCAATTGGGAAATAGTATACACTCCGTATAAAAAAGTATGAATTTTTTGTCCCTCGAAAATTAAAAGACTTCAGCTGCATCAAGGGGTTGTATTGTTTCCTTTATGAGAGATGTGCTTGCGTGGGAGAGTAGGAATTTTCCAGCCCGTTAGCGTGAGGAAAGGTGCGAAATTTCTGCGGGATTAACGGAAGACCAGAAGTTGAAATTAACTCTGGAGCCTAAAAACAGTCGTTTTTAAACTCGGTGTTTATGAACATGAACGGGACGCTGGAAAATTGCCCGTTTCCTTCAAGAAATCGTGCATTAACTAAATTCACCGAATTTGAAATTCAGTTACAGTACAGTATATGAAATTCATCCATCTTCTCCCTATCTGAGGTATCCGTCGGGAACCAGTCAAGTTTAATTATTTTTCGAATGACATGCATGGTTAGGGCTTTCCAGATAATTAGAAATTCGATTTTGACGACGCTAATGCATAAGTTTTAATTCTCTGAAAAAAGCAGAGTCCATGATTTATCGAAGAAAAAATTACCATTTTACAGAAAATGCGTAGGATTTTGAGAAATGTACACCGTCGAAATCATTGAAACCGATTGATGATTTATGAAATCTTGTGAGAAACTTTCCTGAACAGTGAAGTTTTCTGTGTTCGGCTTAATATTGACGCTTTGTGTTGACGAGATTCTTTTGTATTTTTAAAATTCTGAATTTTATTCACTCCTGTAGCGTAAGCTGCTTACACCTCTCAAGCTTATGAAAGAGAAGTGCCGCTTGAACCTAACATTAATTTTAAATTAATTATGATGGGCCCCAGTTGTGATTTTTTATTTTATTTTTCAAATTAAGCGCACGTGGACTGTGCAATATTGATTTGAGTAGGATGTACACCTTTTTTCTCAAAATTGAGAGGGAAAAATGGAGTGTGCATCATACAGTGTACATTAGAAAAAATAATTTTGGAAGTTCAAGTTTGCATTATATTTGATTCTCAAGGGAAATATGGACCAATTTCAACTTTAAAATGTTTGTAATGGAAATATTTGAAAATTAGTTGATCAGGATCAATCCCTGTCTAAATTCAAATTTGAGTGTTCTTATTTTTTGAAATATTGTACAATACAGGTTGTACATTGCAATTTGACCCAAATCCATAGCCAGACTAGGGTTGAATTGCAAGACACTTCGTAAACTTGAGAAATGCAAAAATAATGTCCAAAGCAGGTCAAATTGCAAGTCAGCCTCCCTGCAAATTTGACTGTCAAATTGCAGGACAGTCAAATTTCGGGAGGTCAAATTGCAAAGTACCACCTGTATTGCTGTTTTAGTCACTAAAAGTGGGGTGTGCATCTTACTTGAGGATACAATTTTTATAGAACATTTTGACTAAAACCTGGGTGTGTGTTACTCAAGTAACTACTGTAGATCAATTATGTTGAGTGTTATTTTCGTGGAAATGCGGCTTTTGAATCTGATAGAATATTATATTTGTTATGGATACCCCAATTATGATCACAGAGCTATTCAGAAATTAAATCTGCAACAAGAAAGAAACGCACCGCCCTGATTAATGGGAAAGAGCCATTTTGAGTGTGTACCCAAGTTTTAATGTTGCACTTCTTGCTGATAGCAGCCATCAGCACTGGGCGCGATTGGAAGAAACGGAGGTTTGTGAAGTCGCGAAGAGGACCAAGAGCTGGATTTGGGGATTCTCACCGCCAGTGTTCTGCTGTCACTTCTTTTTTTTTTTTATTGTGGGAAGGGTGTCAAGCTTCTTTTCTTTTGTGTGTGTGTTTTCTTACATAGATGTCTTAATCTCTCTCGGAAATCGTAGTCGGCGAGCGAGGGTGCATTGCTTAATGTGCATTTTGAGTCGGAACATGCCGGTTTTGTATGGGTTTTTATTTGGGGGTGATATCTGAAACAGAAGTGGCTAATAAATCACACTCCAAGTCTCATCTGGTGTACTGTACATGGTTTTCACTAGGGGTGAACCTTTCCCCCCCCCCCCCCCTCAGAAATTAAGGCAGGGAATTAGGGTGTGCACAGTATTATATGCAGGGGATATACTGTATTCTTCACTGGAGTAATTCTTGAGCATTTTGCATATACTGTACAGTAAAACCTCCTTAAGTTGAATTTGTTTGAGTCCCCATCTGAATTCTCTTGGAATCAATGCTTTAAAAACCTTAACTCAAAGGCTTTGCATCTAAAACATCCATAAATCAAAATTTTGGGGCCTTCAGGTTTTTATTTTATTGGAATTTATAGGAAAGGGAAAAACAATAAAAAATTGGAATTTTATGTGCTTTGACAGAATGTGATAGACTGAATGGGCAAATTCACCCCTGTCTCCAAGCTGAGTGTCCTAATAAATCATTTTCATAATTCTTTTTCATTCATAATTAAATGGCTGACAATTCCAGGAGATTGCTAAAGTATTTAATCACCTAACAAAATTATAAATAAAAGCCACATTCTTCACACCTGTGAAATTATATGCTTGTTAGGAATATATAAAATGCAACATATTCATAAGATATGTACACAAAGACATTTCTCTTTTCTCATTACTGCATCCTGATGAGTTTAGATCACATCTGGCTGCTGAGTATACAGTACAATACTGTATATTTATTCATAGTTCCTCTTATTCTTCCTGGCATTGGAGAGATAATTAAATCCCATTGCTCATGCAGTCATGCTCCAGTTGTGAACTGCAAGTATTGCCAGATTACTGCTGGTGGGCTATAAAAATATGAACAGTTCATTGAAAGTTCAAAAAATCTTTCTCTAAAATGTTTTTTCAATGATGCCCATTACATAGCAGGTGTGTGAGACTAATTATCAGAATCTCTGTCTATAGCTCACTCCCTCAAACATGTACTGTACCATGGTACAGGATTATAATTTTTAAAATCTGTGAAACTTGCCCATCCCCCCAGCTTGTTTTATTGGCATAGAATATTCTTGCAATATTTTCTCTATATAGAATATTCTTTCATTTTCTTGGAGACCCTTTTAACAAAATTGAATGAAAAATGCTTTATTCATACATGCATAAAGACAAAAAGGGTTTATTATTCATTTTGCATAATTAAATTGCCATAGCTGGAGGCACACTTCTATTGCATACATTTTAATATAGCAGCTCAGAAGGGTGATTACATGAAATAACAATAGTAGAACCTCTCAAAGTCAAATTTTAAGGGACCAGCAAAAAAATTTAACTTATATATATAGGGAGGTTTCAACTTAGGGATATTTCAACTTTGGGAGGTTTTAGTTTTAAATTATAGAGGTTTGAGCTACAATAAATAGCTATTTTGTTCTGGGAAACATAGAAAAACTGCCAAAAATTGTAAATGGTGGTATTCTGAGGCTCAAATATATAGCTTTTTAACTGAGTTGAAAGAATGCTGAACTTGCAGGCAGGGGTTCATATTTGCCCAATCAAGTTTTTCACTTCCTTTTGTAACACATCACTTCTTCCTTGTGTAAAGAAAATAATAACCAGCAGGCCACATAAAATAAAACTTACAGAGGTTTGAGGAGAAAAGCCTCTGACTTAAGGAGGTTTTTAATTTATTATTTCTAATGGGATTCAGATGGGGATCTGAAAGAAAATTCAACTTAAGGG